ATCAGCGTCGACTTGCCAACACCGCTAGGACCTGTGATGACACAGGCACCACCTTTGAAAGAAGGAACACGCCTTCAGGGACATGTGCTTTGTTGGAACCAGCATGGAGCCGCACAGAGAAACTCCCGCCTTAATGTTGAAATCTCTGCAGGAGGAGAGGCGATAATCTTGCCCTGCAGCCTGGCCGACACTGCACATGTGTTTCGATGTCTTCCTGATACTTCCTCTGTTGCTGCAACTGTCGGAACCTCACATCGGTGATCCTCGGTGACGCAAAAGCGAATGCTAGGCACACATCTTTTCTGCACACCATTCGAGACTCCCATCCTTCGGGTGATTGTGCACAATCGAAACGCACTTTTGACAGACATGTCAAACGTGAAAGGCTGTTTCAGCCCCAAAATTTTGTCGACTGTGCTCCCGCCTCGTTTGACACGACAGTCACTCTTTTTTCCACGGCTCGAAACAGTCTCTCTCCTCCTGCTCGATGGCATACCTGCTGGTCTGCAGGAGCCGGTACATCGGTTCCATATGCGTTCCAGCCAGTTTGGTGAGCCCATCGGCAGGATCCTCATTGTGAAGAACCCATCGGATGCGTCTTCTCAACCGAACTGTTGAATAATCGCAATTTCCAGGGCCGAACGATCGTCATCACCATGAGACTGTTCTGCATACAGCGCGTCGTAGAGAGATTTCGCGTCCGCGATGCCATGATGCCGATGATCTTCGGGTCAATATAGCGCGGGCCCTCGGTCGATAGCACTGTTGGGGAGCCCTCCTCATCCTCGGCAGCGTCTCGGGGATCGTAGTCCGACCTGGTGAAGCTTTCCCAGGTCGCCAGTTGTCTTTCCAAAGCGCCCATGGCCGTTGAAAGAGCAATCGATTCGCAGAGGAGCCTGTAGCCCGCTTTTTTCTTCATCCTTCGGGATTTCCATGCAACCAAGCTCACCGGGGCACTTTGCGGTTCAAAGCTGGGCTCGTAACACCTTGAAGCCAGCCATGTTGGGCCGTGGTTTTCCCTGTCGGATCAAACGCTGTCAGAGATCACGACAAGGCGGATTTGGTCCTCGGCAATGGAGTGTATCACCAGATCCATTTTGTTGGCCTTGAAGAACTGTATCAGCTGGCTAACTGCGATGACATCAGCCATTGACGGTGACGGACAGCAGCCTGCGAGGATGCTGCAGCTGCCGAAGCGTCAGGGCGGCCCTCCCGAGCAGTCCAATGCTGCTATGACACCGCGGAGCTGGCTTTCCTCGTCTGACGTGAGCCTTGTGGCGCTCGCGTCCTTCTTCAGGACTTTTCGAGTGATGTCCACTTAGCGAAGGCGGTTGCTCACGTAGTCGGTCATGCTGTGGGCGAAAGAAGCTGTAGCCCCTGCCCTGCCTCGCTTCCGTCCCGGCATATCCGCTGCCAGCTTCGCAGTCCATCAAACTGGTCACCTTGCCCGAACGATCTGCCTTCCAAGGTTTTCATTCTCTGACGATGCCTTTCCCCACCAGCTTCCAGCACATCGTCCACCTCAATCACCATTATCCCCTGCGTGTGCTTGGTCCTCGAGCTTCTCGGAGGGGTCGACCTTAAGAAACGACCAGTTCGATGCCTATGATGCGAGTCACGCTAACAGCGAAGTGGCCGGCCCGACTTCGAAGTCACGGTGGACAGTTGTGGGATGGTATGACCCAATGCCATCGAACGCTGGGCGCCGACCCCGCTTACCACTTCAGTCTACTGCATTGCAGACGGCCTCGACCCAGCGGTGGAAGGCCTACGTCCGGGATGTAAAGGCAACCTTCCTCGAATAGCGGTCGACATATCTGCTTGTCAGCACATGCTCAGAATGTTCTTGCTCAAGTCAAGCGAAGGGATTCCTCCAGGTTCAGGATCTTGATAGCGCCGCTGTCCAAAAGGCTTGTGATGTGTTTGTCTCGAGACTTTCTGAACACCGTCTTCAGATATTCAGGAAGACGCCGAAACTCGATGTGCCCAGGAGGATCCACTATCTTTGCGAGGAACATCTTTTTCTCCCGATGATTGTAAACTGCTTGGGCCTCGCTCTGTTGACAGGTCTTCTTGGAGGTCGGGACCGGAAGCCCACGATTGCGGGCCTTGGTCCACCGTTTGACAATGCCATTGGAGTCGTCGACGTTCATCACCTCCAGGTGCGTGAGGTTGTCCCGGAGAGGGCCACGAGGGAATCGCCGTCACATGCTTCTCGGATGGGTCCAAAGGCCATTTTCCCTGAACTTGCTTCGTCAACCCGTACGCTTGATCTTTTGGAGGCCGTAACCGAGGGAGGAGCAGAAAGGTCCTGACCAGCCACGAAACACTGTAGTTCTCCATACGTAAACTCGGTCACCCGCATGAATCGAGATGGCATCGACTCACCGCCCTGCCGTCGCTTCATGTAATCGTTTTGGGGAGCTTGGAGACGGTTTCGGTCAATGTAGTCGTCAGACAGCAAAGTGCCTCCACGCTGGCAGGGCCAGCGATGTCCAAATATGGACGGTGCTTGGTCATCAAGGCCGTCAAAGCCGCTCGGGGACAACAATTCCGACATCGGAATTTGATCTGCGAGCCCCCCTTTTGCCGGTGAAGGGTGGTTTCAGCCTCCGAACAGGCAAGACGCTTCAACCAGGAACGTTCTGTTCCCGGCTGTCCACTCCAGGCGGGTATGCTCTTCCTCCCGCCAGTCAGGGCCGCAATGAATCGTTCGCCTTGGTCAGGAGTCAGGAAGGGGAGGTGACGACTTTGGCGGCTGACCCCCAACACATCAAAGGCCGATGACACCCCTTAGTCGGAGATCCAGGCTGCCTTGCTTGTGAGGTACGGCTCGCGGCAGCAACTGCGGCAGCATTTCTTCTCATGTCAAGTTCAGGATTGGGCTCATTCATTCTGGTTTGTAGTAGGCGCCGAAGTTCCGGAAGTACCCGCGCAAGTGAGGTTGGGAAGTTACATGCTTGCGGGGGAACGGCCTGCACGCTGCCTGTTGGAAATAAAAAAAACCAAGCTTCCAGGAATCCCTTGAGGCGGTCCCGTAACCAGAAAAGGAGAGGGTAGCCCTGTCAAGTTTGGATTCCCAAAGTTCGCGACCTGAGGGAAAACACCGCCTCCCGGATTCCATCATGAACTCCAAAGGCAGCAGGCATTTCGTTCGGATGCCTCGAATTCTGCATCCACGTTCCAACCGAGCTTGACGACGAGCTGCTCCTTGCCCCCTTGAGCGCCCACTCGCGAATCATCATGAGGTAACCGTACAGCGGGTCCTCCAGGCAGTTCAGCGCCTGGTCCGTCGCGTAGAGGTCTTCGGGCCAGGTTTTCGGCGCAAGGATCCATGCTGTGGTCGTACCCAGGCTCCGGTGCCAGCTGACGCAAAATCGAATACTAGGCACACATCTTTTTTGCGCACCATTCGAGACTCAAACCCTTCGGGTGATTGTGCACAGTCGAAACGCACTCATGACAGACATGTCAAACTCGAAAGGCTGCTTCATCGGCAAGCACTACCATGAGCACAGTTTCACCGTGCCTGCGTTTTCAGGAAGCTGGATCCGATGTTAACCAGACGCCCTGTCCGATTCACTTCTGTCTTTCGCGCCCCCGTTTGCCAAGCCGTGGCTGCAGTCCCTGTGGTGGTATCAAGGCCACCTTGGCACTTGTCTGTTTTTCGGCGCAGGCGTGCAGAAGGCCATGTGGTTACGCCGTTACGACACAAGGTACAAAGCTCCGACCCAGTTCATGGCTTCAGGCATGGTGCAGCTGCAGTGAGAAGTCTCCGCCGCTGCTGTTGGAAGTTATTGAAGCACGTCTGCAATACGCACTACTTGTGCAAATGCACATCAATCCGTGCCGGGGTGTCTGTCCCAGCATCCAGGCATAGGGATCAGACCTGAGACATAGGACTGAAAGCATGCCTGAATGTTCCGACTTGTACGGTAGCGTTAGCTGCACACGCCTTTGCTGACTGGAGCTTAGGGCAGCTTGAGCTCTGTCGGAGATCTCAGCATGCCACGGCTTCCGGCGTAGCATGGCAGAAAGAAGCGCCTGGTTGGACAGGAACTGGGTTTGCGGCACTGGCTTCCAAACTGGCCTTGAAGTACTCCGACAGCTTGTGTTTCTGCAAGTAAAAGCTATTCTCCTCTGCACGAGGCTGTGGGCATGACATGAGAAGCAATATTGCTCAGAAAGTCCTCTTGGTTGGGAGCTTTACTTGCAGCCTCTGCAGGCCTTGGAAGTATCTTCACAGGCTGTGCTGTGGCCCCGTTGTTCGCCCGAGATTACCATAGCAGAAAGGCCTCTCAAGATTGCAGGTGGCCTCTCAGCGTGTTATACCTTCGGTGACTTACTAGGTAAAACGGCTGAGTATCATCCTCATGAAGCTTTGAAGAGGCCGACTCTGTTACCCGATGGCAAACTCAGCGCACGGTCTTTCCTTGCATTTTGGCGAACGTACAAAAGTTCCTGCCTTCGAAGCGCTAGTCGCCCAACATGAATCGAACGTTCCGGTCACAATCCTCATGCATACCCTCCCGGTCCCAGCTCCCTCCCAACATTCAACCCAGTAAAGAAACAAGGTCTGTGCTAAACGGCGTA